CAAAATATACCCCTTTTTCATGAAAATGAGTCAAGATCTCACTCGAAGAGCAAAATGAAAACTCATACCCATGAAGCACTAGATTTGAGGAGAGTAGATCTTAACCATTAAGCTAAACTTAAAGCATAGTAATAATACAAGATATGAAAGAAAACAAGTAAAGAGATAGAAGATGATTGCAATCTACCTCCAACGCATGAGAATAAAAAAGAATCTCATTCAAAGAATGACACCAAGGCCTAAACCCAAGATACAATGGATTTGTGTAGGTAGATTTTATCATCATCATCATAAGAACTATGCTAAGAGCACAACACAAATGCTAATTTACACAAGAAAATAAAAGAAGGGGTGATAAGGATAGATAACGAACTAGATCTACTTCTAAAAACATGGAAAAAGCCTCAATACATGAAATGAATCAAAGGAAAGAGTAGATTCAATCCGCCATCAAAGAGAAATTAAGTTATCATCCTTAAAAATAAATAAATAAAAATACTAGACAATAAAGTAAAAATTGGTCAGTATCTACCCTCTAGGCATGGAAATAAGCATGAATGCCCAAATCCATGAACTAACAAATTAAGAGGATAGATTCAACCATTATCATATGGATATTCCATGTTTGGCCACCAAAAAAGTGCAAGAAAATGAAAAAGAAAGAGATAATGAAACTAATTCAATCAACAATGGGATTTGGCAAGAATTCCAACTACTCTACCCCAACAATCAATGTAGCTTCAATAATATGGAAGAAAATGAAAAGAAAAGAAAAGAAAATGAGATGAAGTAGACTTTTACCTCCTTTCAAGCCACAAGCAATGAAGGAAAGCACCAGCACAATAGACCCAAATCCAATCTTCCACTCAAGTTTCAATGGATGCTCCAAAAACTTCTAGTTTAGGCTTTGGTGAGAGGGGCTAAGGGTGTGTCTGGACAGAGTTTTGGCAAGGCAGAGAGAGTGAATCCTCATTTTTTCACCCAAATGGTTGTTTATATGGGCCAAGCGGAGCCTTTGGAGTATGCCATATCCTTGTATATTTGCTTTATATGTGTATAGAATATTCGAAGATGTTAGGGAGACTAATCTCAAGAAACTAATTGAGACGTTTGAAACTTGTGGCCGTCCAACTTCTTGTGGGCGCATGTATCACATGCGATTGCAGGTTAAGATGTCTGCAGCCATGGATTGGTCTTGTTGTGTGAGAGTCCACAAGTATAATTTCCATCCGCGTGATTACCCACTAGTATGATCTCACCCACATGAGCATTCATAGATATGATCAGTAGATTGGTCATTCATAAGTGTGTGAAAACCTATAGATTGACCCACAAACTTGCAGTTGGATGTTTTCTTTAGTGTTTTCCGTCCTTCCGTTCAATTCAACTTCATTTTTTCTCGCTTTTGAAGGAAACAAGGTTTTTAGTTGCGAAAATACGAAGTTGGATTTAGTTGAATGTTCAAAATGATAACTTGAATTCTTAAAAACACTTTTTCAAAAACATTTTTAGGATTTGAAAACATTTTTGGGTAAAAAGGGTTTAAGGTTGGGAAAATCTTCACTTGAAAGGCTAGCTTGAAGATAATTGAGATCCATCTTTTGTTTCGTCATCAAATTACTTCGGAGGTGCCTAGGTCTTAAGGCTGGTCAAAAATAAAGTGTCTGCAGTATGCCATGGCAAGTACAAGACCTGACATTTGTCATGCAGTTGGATTAGGTTTCAGTCCAATCCAAGTAAGGTATGTTAACAGATAGTCAAACAAATATTTAGATATTTGCCAGGCACTAAAGTATGGAATTGTGTTTTGAATTAAGTGACATAGAATTTAAAAGGATACACCAACATAGATTTTGCAAGAGATATAGATTATGGAAAATCTAATAGTGGCCATGTGTTCTTGTATAGTGGAACTGTAATTTCTTAGTTAAGCAAGAAACAAAGTTACGTTGCAAAGTATACTATGGAAGATAAGTACATAGCTTTATTTTTTTATTTTTTTTTATTTTTGATCGACAAAAGTCAGTTGTTAGTTGTTAGATTAGCAGCAATGGGAGTTAGTCTCCCCACCCTTACAAAGCAACAAGTGCTTGACACCTAATTCAACTTCCCATTAGAGAGAGTTGAACCCATGACTTTTCTCTTGGAACTAAGCCCATAGAAGAGTCATTGTGGTCAACTAGGCTAGGCCTAGTTGGTTCTGAGTACATAACTTGTAGCACAACAATGACTGATGTGGTTTATTTAAATGATTTGTTGATAGTTTACAGTTGGGTATACTTGAGAGACCGGCCAATATATGTTGTGACAATAAGTCCACCATCTTATTAATAAAAAGTGGAGCTAATAATTCTAAAAGTGAACATATTGATGTAAGTTATCACTATATTCAAGATATAGTAGAGATAGGTGAAATTAAAATCGACTATATACTCTCGGAAGAGATGGAAGCTGACCCCATCACTAAAGGGTTGTCTCTGAAAAAATTTAGAGAGCATGTAGCTACTATGGGATTAAGACATACCTAGCTAGGTAGTTTAACTACATACATAACAGCATAATCAAGTGATTCTAGAGACGCTTAAATAACCAATGTTATGCGACTCTACCTCACATGGAGGTATGTGTTTGGTCAGGTTATAAGGTAGAAGAACTAGCAAGGTATGGACATCACAGTGTTCATGAGATGTAAATTCCATGATATGCAACATGTCAATCTGGTGACGTTGTCTGCTTGATCAAAAAAATTCACTGATAAAGTGTATTGAGCAAAACCTTCTGGAATGGACTTTAGAGAAAGTGATTAACAAAAAAATTTGGCGCGGGTCGACACATGAGGAATTTATGTGGTTGAAATCATCAATGGTCATTGGGTATGGGCTCTATTCTCAATACTGGAAATTGATGCCATTCACTTGAAGTATAGTGAGTTGAATTCATCTGGAGTGTCTTTGATAGTGGAGAAACACATCCTTATGGATGTAGTTAGATTGGTGACAAAAGCGTGTACATGTGTGACCAGGCACAATCGAACATCAATCTATGAGGTAATTCATAAATGGAAGTTGGCAAGAGGCCAAGATTAGTACCAAGTTAAACATGTCCAACTCAGGTTCTATCACTTTTATTATTATGTATTCAAGTAGGAGATGATAGAAGTAGAGCTAACCACACCATAATATAGTGTGACTCTCTACATACGATCATCACCAATGGTTGGTGATATAGCTTCCCGCTTGAGAGAAAAACAAACTAGAAGTGGAGAAATTTGAATTCAAATTGATGAGTTACAATGGTTTATGGAAAAGTTGTATCTATTATATTTGTGAGACAATCTTCGTAGTTTTGATTATTGCCAAGGGACACCTATATAAACATGGTTATGAAGATGGTAGACTTCACTTCTGAATTAAAAAAATCCTTACAGACTTCTCACTTTCGAATTATCAACTCACTCTTGTCTGATTATCACCCTTACAATATTATCATCTTTGTCGTTGTTCTAATAGTCACACCCCGAATCTCGTGACCCAAGATTGTGAACGAGTTAGAAAGATAAGGTTAGGTTAAGGGCTACTAGGGTCTAGGTAGGACAAGTTATCCGCAATCTTATAAAATAATTTAAGAAAAATCCTTTAAATAAATTTTGAAATTTAATAACTAAGAATTCTAGAATTTGTAAATAGATTTAACAATTAAACACAGAACATATAATATCTTACATCGATTTTGTAGAAGATGGAAATGGAAATTAGCCAAGTTGAGTATTGAAGACTCTTTCCTTAAGACAGATTTGTCCATCCCACGGTACTTTGGAGTGGTGGACGTTTATCTTCCGAGATGAAATGGCTTATGTAGTTACTTTGCAGCACTACAAAGAAACTGTCAATGAACCAAACAATGGATGCACTCTATCTGATTGGAAAACTTAAATGCAGAATATGAACAAAAGAATGAATGAAAAAATAGAGAACATAACTCATATTGTTTTATTTTTTTATTTTTGGATCATTGGAATAGAATGAGGGACTGACTATTTATAGGCAACAATGTGCCTGTTTAGACTAGCTGAAATGGTACAACGGAAATATGTGACCGATACAACTTGTGGACGCAAACTATTTGATAAAATGCATATCAAGGCAATTGCTTGGAATTTAATGCTTAGTATGTAGCTTCATCTTTAGGAACAACAACATAAACCTTTTTCAATCAAAATTAGTTACCCATCCTCCATTATTAGATGAATTGATTGTAGATTAAATACAATAGATACATACATTGTTGATTTTGGTTTATTTGTTATTCATCAAAGACGGTAAAGGTTGTGATTGATGATAGAATATGTTTCTAATTAGGAGAGGGGTTGTTAGCGATTAAGGGTAAGTAGAGGCAGTTAAGATGGTGGTCGTTTAATTGTTCAGCAAAAAACAAAAAATAGAGAGAGAGAGAGAGAGAGAGAGAGAGAGAGAGAGGATTTGAATATTGAAGGATGTAAATTAAAATAAAAACATAATTGTCTTTTGGTAAAATTAATTGATTTTATTTTCTCCAGACTTTGCTAGAAAAAGAAAAGCTGAGAAAAGAATATCTATCATTTTTTAAACCACAAAGAGGTATTTGTATTTTATGTAAACTTTATAAGGTATATTTGTAATTTACCCTAAAAGAAAATATGAGAAAAACTTGGCAAGGAGAGGATTACCACTCTTCATTGAGATAAGATTATAGACTCAGACTAAAACATATTGATAATCAAGTTGAGTATAGCAAATTATATCACCATCAAGAATTGGGGATGGGTAACTAAAAACCAACCCCACCCACCCATCGCTAATAATAGCAATCTTGAATTTTTTTTTTTCTCCCTCTTCATCTTTGGTTGCTTGCATATGCAATTTTCATATGTGAACATTTCTATTTTGTGCACCTAGTTAAATGCAATACATTAGTAATATTATCTCTAAAGTTTGCTATGTAATTCTTGCATGGTTGATCAGGTTTGCAGATGATGTAATTGAAGCATCAGATGGTAATTTGTACTTCAGTGTTGCAAGCACCAAATTTGGCCTTCACGATTGGTACCTAGATGTGCTTGAGGCAAAACCTCATGGGCAACTTCTCAAATATGATCCCTCATTGAATATGACATCGATAGTGATTGATGGTCTTTGTTTTGCAAATGGTGTTGCACTGTCTACAGACGAAGATTTTTTGGTGGTCTGCGAAACTTGGAAGTAAGTCAATTTCGTGAGAGAAAAACTAATTAAACAAGGGAAAAAAAAAACTTATTGGTGTAGTAGGGCTATGATCAAAGTAAGAAATGAAAATAATGCTTTAGGTTTTCTTTCCTCTTCATTTGCTTAATATTTATCCATTACTTTCAAACACCTGATACCTTTTTATTTGTTGGTTAGATTTAGGTGCCTAAAGCATTGGCTGAATGGGGAACACAAAGGAAAAACTGAGATTTTTATAGATAACCTTCCTGGTGGACCTGATAACATTAATGTTGCTCCTGATGGATCATTTTGGATCGCTCTGTTAGAGGTATATTTAAACAATTCAAAATATTACAAAGTTGAATGATCAATAGCTCACTTCTAAATATGTTGTAATGTTTAATAATATTTTTGTTTATATATATATATATTGAAAATATCATAATAGTATTCTTTTTTTTTATTTTTTTATTTTTTATTTTTATTATTATTTTTTACACTATAAACAAATTATAAAATTTAAAATAAAAATTTTGCTTCACTTTTTTTGAAAACAAATTTATATTCCCTCATTGCTCCTTCCTCCCTCGCCTCCACCTTCGTCACTATTACCATCCGCCAGTCCCTCTAACAAGTCATTAAACATGCTTTCTTGTTTTTATCAAAATGATGTTATCTGTTTACAGCAAGAAAAATGCTAAGGATATTTACAATCTTACTAACACACTCACAAGTTGATGTGGGTCCCATACCAAGTGATGGTTGATCTTATCGAAACTTGTGTATCTTGTGAGTGTGTTAGTAAAAGTGTTAGCAAGATTGTAAGTATCCCTAGTATTGTTGTTACAAGAAACTAGTACAGGTACCAAACTAATAAATGTTAATGCTAATGTTAAGGTTATAATGTCAAACATATTTATCTAGAGCTATATTGAGGGTTGCTTTATGTGTCACAGTTAACCTCTAGCGGGTTCGAGTTTGTTCACACTTCCAAGGCATCCAAACATGTGCTAGCAACATTTCCGAAATTGCTCAAGCGAATCCCAGGCATGCATAAGAAAGCAATGGTGGTAAATGTGGCTACTAATGGGAAGATAATCAGAAATTTCGGTGATCCTAAAGGAGAAGTGATGTCCTTTGTGACATCAGCTGTAGAGTTTGAGGACCATCTCTACCTAGGAAGTTTGAATTCCAACTTCATCGGAAAATTGCCATTGAATGCTATTGCATAGTACTCTCTGTCTACCTTTCAATGACCAAGTAGGAAGAATAAGATGAAATACACATGAATAAGGGTTTTGTGTAATGTGTTTTAGAAAATGCATGTTTAGCATATTTATGGACCATTACATATGAGAAACACACTACTGGTATCTCTGTTCCATGAATCATAATGTGAAGAGTTCTTAATCTAAGACTCAACTATCAACAAGATTAACTAGGGTCCACAAGAAAACATAACATCATATAATGAAGCAGTGAGTACTAGAAAACACAAAGAAAATTTAAAATATATTACTATGCCAGAAACATAAAATGAACTAGGAAATAATCGATCTAATAAATAAGAACAAGACAGTTTTTTATACATGGAAAATAGATGGAAATATAGAGAAACAATCTAAAATCACCTATCCATAAAAAAAAATTTTGGTGATCCAAATAACTGTTGCAATGAAAGATAATTTGATGATTCTAAGTACATCCATGGAACTCCCAATCTTCCTTTCTCAAAATCCAAAATCAATTAAAACATATCTTGATGGTTTTACGTACAAACATAAATATTTCTCAATCCATCATTTATCAATCTTGCTGTTGGCTACATATTTTGTGCTAGCCAGTGATAATTCGACGCGTGGCAAAGTAAGGGTAATATAGGGAGACCAGTCAGATCTTCGATCCTGATCATACACGTGGCAGTTAATATTGGTTGTTATAAGATCTGAGTAGCAACGGATTAACAAAGAGATGTAACGTGACGTGGCTTCAACGGTTGCTCACATTCAAATTCAAATATAGGAGGGAAGCCTAACTGCCAGTGAAGGCGTAGTGGACCTACTTATAAGGTAGCATAATCAGCGATCACGGAGGAGCAGTTCGACGATTTGAAGTGCCGTTCGATGGTTATCTTTGGAAAGTATAAATAGCAGGAAGGACTTCAGAGTGAGGGACGGAAAGAAATCTAAAGAAAACCAATCTTACTTTACATATGCCAGTTTTATTTCCTGTTCTTTACATTTCTGTACTTTAAGTTCCTGCTCTGCACTTCATTTGTAGGAGTAGTTTTCGAGTATATTGCCGCTGTAAATCTCCACGAAGCTGAGATCATTGTAAATTTTTCATACTAATGAAATGCTTCAGTTTATTTAACTGTTCTTATGCTCAAGTTCTCTGAAGTCAAGCTACCAGTAAGCCACCAATAACAGTCCTCTTTATTGAGGTTAAAAGAACCATAACACAATCGTTTGAATAATTGGTTGGCAATTACAATTCTGTAAGGACTGATTGATCCTTGCTGGCACGCTCATAATTACAAAAATAACCTTCGAAAGCCAAAAAGCCAACATATATTTTTGGCACGCCCAGTGGGACCCTTTAAAAAATGGCTAGACGTAGGAGACAAGGAGAAAATGAACGTTCGGAAGAAGGCGTGGAAGGAGAGGTGGAGATATTCAATCCAGAGGATAATGTGATAACACATCCTGTGGAGACTCCTATCTTATCGGAACCCATGGTCGAACAGACCAATACTTCAGAGAAAATACCATTTGTTCGTAATAGTGAACGAGACCAAGGAATTGGACCATCCAGTGTCCCATCTACTCAGCCAGTCAATCCGTGGGGCGGCTTAGTAGATGCCATGGGACAGCAATTAATAAACACAATGGAAAGGTGGGCAGTATCCTTTTTGGATCGAATGAATAACCACCAACCAACAAATGTAAGACACATGGAGGAAGTAAATGTCCCTCAGCAAAGATTGGCTAGAGATAAACAGCCTATGCAAGCTAATGGGCATTCTAATGGTCAAACCAGTAATCAGATTCATGAAAGATTACCACCTCAATCTTGGTACGAACCCATTTCGAGGCCTATAGTAGGCCATAATGCCTCAATGTTCAACAGTGAAGCCATGCAAATTGGTGGATCTGGCCCAGTACAAGAAAATGGCATAAGAATGGTTCCAAATCCCACATTAGAAGCCATACCTGGCACTAGGGGGTACAATAATCCCTTATTCGAATTTATACACGGGGGGTTGGAAGGTTCCCCTACAAATGGAAGGGATACAATACCTGTTCCAGCACCTTTCGTGGGTCCCTTCGCAGGACAGGCTCAAAGAGGTTACCTACACCCCTAACAGCAACCTGTACCACAGGGACAGCCAGTCCCAAATGTACCACCTTATGGACCAAGAGGACCACAAGCACAAGTGTGTCCACCAAATCCTGTGTTTGTTCCTCCAGTAGTGGTTCAACAGGCACAAAATATGGTCCCTAGGGACCAAATTACTGAGATAGTTAGGGAGTTGTGTGGACCAATGGCTCGGGGGGTCCAAACTCCTGTGTACAGAAAACCATACCCAGAACGGGTCGACAGGGTACATGAATATCCAAGAGGTTTCAGGATACCAGATTTTGTCCTTTT